ATAATATTCAGTATGAATAAAATCCAAATGACCTATAACCCATTAATTCTCTTTAATTAAACATATCACATAAGAGTGAGAAACAACTCTAATTTACACACACACACACACACACACACACACACACACATATATATATATATATATTTGTGGCATGTACAACTTCTGTTTTGTGCACATAATCTTGTAATTGCATTTTCACTTCATGCATAGCAATTTTTATGTACCATATGAACTTTTATTGATCATTGTCTTTACCTATATCTAAGTTAGCATTAAACAAGCTGAAAGAATGTAACTTGTATTAGAATGCTAATTTATAATTTGCAACTCAAATAATTTTGTTATTGTTATGATTCAAAATGTAAATACGGTCAGAATGCTAATTAACAAATAAACAAAAGAAATGCAAAACGACCTTTGACCAATCCTCCCTAAAATCATCTCAACTTCCTGTTAGCCTAACCATCTTAAGGACTTATCTAGAATCCCGAAGTAAACAGAGAGTACAAGCCACAATTCACAAGACATAGCACGATAGCTGCGAAGGCACCAACACAGCTCAGTCGACCAGCCTAACAAGTACAGGAATCAGCTATGAACTTGTGAAACTTCGTGAAACTTTAATTCAGCTAAATACTCACAAAACTTGGATGTTGGATGTTTTGACAGTAATAATAATAACAAAATCCAGTTCTACAAAAATTCAAAACATCCACTCTTAATTTAAGTACCATGTTATCAGCTTAATGACATTGTCTGTGTTTGCAGGCCATTTAGTTGTGCCCATTTTCAAGATGCAGCATCGCGATTTTCCATGCATATCCATGGAGTTCTTGCTGAAATAATCTTCTTGGTTGTGTAGCTAAGCTGCTACATGCTAGATTTACTTGCATCCTTGAGAGCTTTGCTTCTGAGATTCTCGTCCTCATCCTTTGTTTCCTTATCATCCTTTGTCAGATCACCTACAGCAGACCTTTCTGCTGACTTGATGCTTTTCGGGCTCGAGTTGTGTACCTAAAAGCAGAAACTCTCTGGCTGTTATAAAGCCCTTGGCAATTCATTTGATAACATCAAAAAAAAGTAGATGAAGATGACGTGAATGCCATAAAAATTCCAAAAACTCAAACTCTGAAGAAAAGACAACGTTATCAAACGACAAACCTTTTCTCTGAAGAAACAGAATCATCTTGTTGTTTATCTTATACATGTTCTCCGTGCTTGCTTTCTTCTTCTGCAAAACCAGCAAAGGCAAACATAAGCCTCAGTAAGAAAAGAAATCTAAGCGCTAAAAAGGGGGAAAAAAACCTCTAATTCTAATTTGGATCAAGTGTTAATGCTCCCAATACCTGCTCCTCTAGTTTAAAGATATCAAAAGTTGACTGGAGGAAATGCCCATGATTATTGTTCAAGAGATAAAGCATTGATGAAACATCTATTTTAGACAAAACATCCTGTACAGGAAGTTATGGCTAAGACATACAGATAAAGAAAAAACTTCTCTAAACAGATATGTTAAAGGATTTGAGTTTGTTTTCAAGGTCAATATTAGGATTCTATCTATTACAATAGTTTCTCTCCTTTTGTTTCAATAATTTTATCTTTTTTTTAAACAACTGGATTGATCCTTGGATTTGAAACAAATGAATGTCTAAATACCCTAACCAGCTATGTGATTAAAATGATCAAACAAGAAAATAATCTTCTGTAGACAACAAGCAAGCCAGCAAAAGAATACTGTACAGAAGTTCTGGAAGCATGTCATGGCAACATAAATCTGCAAAAGAGAACTTAACTCTTAGTGTGGTGAACATGAGAATTAACTACCTATACAAATTCAGATATGGGGAAGGCAAGTACAACATCAAGAAAAGCTTAATGACAACTTGAAAATCCTTACAAAGGATATTGACAGCTGTCTCAAACAGTACTTCAAAGCCACAGCAGCAGCAGCAGCAGAAATTGAAAGGTTTCATTGTTTATTCTATCAAATCACATCCCAGAAATCTCATCAATATATGAGAGGGAGAGAAATTTTTATTTTATTTTTTTTTTTGGGGGGGGGGGGAGGCGATAACAGAAACACCACAAATAGCATAATGAAGAAAAAGTAGGAAATCAGGCAACTAACTTGATGACAAGAAGTGTTGCCAAGCAAAAACCAACTTTCTTTTTCCAGATTCAAATTCTCCTCGTTCCCATCAACATATAAAACCTGACACAAAGACAAGAAGCATGTGATGACTCATAAAAAAAACTTACTTCCATTCAACATCACCACATTCTCAATCACCAAAAAATGTCAAACGAGTGAGAGAAAACTGTGCTCCTAAGCTTGTAACAATACAATAAAAAAACTTAAGACAACCGCTGATCAAAGTAGTTAAGATGGATCAATATGTAACAAATACACCAGAAAATGGGTCTTCCAAAAAAATGTTTTATTCTTAAAGAATATGAGGAGGGTTTACAAAGTGTTCTTATCTCATTATGAGGAAAGGACAGAGATCAGAGACTAAAAGCAAAAAATGGAGGCATAATAAAGGATGAAGCAAAACCAAGGATGGATTTTAGAAGAGTAAATGATAGCAAAAGTAGAGGTTTAGGCCATGAATGTGAATATTATTACCTTATGTTTCTTACTCAAAGGATCAAAAGCATCAACAACACCTTCATAAAACCTGCACAAAAGGAACTGGATAAGATAGAACACAACTTTCTGCCTGTTCTCTGACATAAATTGCTCAAGTTTGGCTGATTTAGTACATTAAGTTTGACAAATTATCCCATATTCAATTGCAGAAATTTCAACTTTGCATTTATCAATGAAATGGAGGAGCATTCCTCGAACAATGCCCTCCAAAGTAAACATGAAAACTAGGATGTCATGTTGGGAAATTCTGCGCGCAGGTGTCTTTCCAGTAGGATGTTCATGCACATAGTGTACCTATGCTTATGTATCTAATCAATATATCAACTACCAACGTCAAAAGTAATCCCAAGTAGCATTGGAGATTTATTAGTGTTATAAGAAACACTTAGATTCATTACTTCACCTCTTGAGGAATCTGACGTCCATCATCATCACTATGCCTCCTCGACATGCATCCCTGTTAGTCTTTTATCTGGTAATAGCAGTTAGCGTACTGTTTACTACCCCAGTTCTAAGCTTTTTTTTTCATCCCTCCGGGAGAATTTTCACTATCTGTTCATGATATCTCATCTTTTTCCCTATTCTGTTTCAAGATAACAATAGGAAAATTTTCTTTTACAACTGCCTGCATCATATCATGAGCTTCCTACAAATGGAAATAATCAATTACCACCCACATACACACTGCACAGAGGCACATATGTTCACATATAACATGCTCACATACATTACATTATCAACGAAAGATTAAAGCAGAAATCACCATTGACACCCAACTGGCCAGAAATATTCCTAACCACTAAAACTACAAACAAAATAAATAAATAAATCTAACAGTTAACACAGGCCACAACCTTCAATCACAAAATTGAAAATCAGAAAAGGATGACTTCAGGATGAAAACAGCGACTTTATGTAGCAACAAATACCTGAGTTTTGAGGGACTAAATCATCATGTACTATGAAATTCTTTAGTAAAAGGAAAATGGATGGGGCAGCAAATGCCCAGAATATGGGATAGGAAAAGATTCACAGATGTCAGTCAATTAAAGGTTTGCCAGAACTACAGAAAGAAGTCAATAAGCCAACAAGATTCTAGTTTTACCGGTTGAGATTATGCATGGGTTTTGAAAAACCATAGTCTTGCTGGATTGGAGGCAACAGTGGTGAAACAGTCTCCTAACTTGGCCAAACCAACTTCACAAAATTGGCTTTTTGGCCAAAACATCCTTTAAGACAAGTTCTACTTCTCAGTTAAGGAAGCTTCCACTGATGGTGTTTAATTGGTAAGGCAGGAGATTATAAATCGTACCATATTATAGAAAACAAAAAAATAAAAAGATGGGAGTTTAATGGGAGTTTAAACTGAGACAGAGTGGGGAGGATTGTAGTTGATGTAGTTTAGGTGGAACGACATGTCAAAATCAAGCAGAAAGAAGGGGGGGAGGTGGGGAAATAAGATGAGTATAGTTCCAGATATCCAACACCCATACAACAATGCTACCCAGATGACTCTCCTAGCACTCTCTAACTGTTTTAAAGAAACAGAACCACCTGGACCAAAGTCAAGATAATAGCAACATTCAGAGATTCAACTTACAAAAAAAGTACAGAGGATCAATATATTGTCTCTCGAGCATTATCACAATTTAAGTCACTTACTCACTGTCCATGGACCACCAGACCTTTATCCTTGAACCGACTAACTCTTCACCATATTCTTTGACAATTTAGGCTTCTTGCAACCCTGAAGTAGTATAAAATGATATATTTGGACGTTAGAAAGCAGATATGAAAATCACGTCAGGATATTGCAACAAACACAAAGCTTCAAAACGGGCATATCAGACAGGCAAGAAATTTAGTTGATCATTGCTAACAAGCATGTGAAGAGAACAGGGTGCTTCCTCATGTTCTCAGCAGATGCCAACTAAGATTCCATTGATCTATTTTCTATAGTAGAAATCTTTAGACTGAAGCTACAAGAATTGATTCACCTTTTACATGAAAAATAAGATTTGTACTCCCTCGTATCAAATTGAACATCCTAAATTCTTATTTGCGTGGTGACAAAACTATGTCCACTTTGCTTACTCGGAAAATTTAATTACAGGTAGAAATGCACCGACACATCAATAAGGAAACATAATACCTCAGTATAAACTCCCTCTGGTTTTTAAAGGATTGGGTTTTCTTTTCCTTCTATTTGGCGTAACTCCTACTCTTGCTCTTGGTTGCATTTCCCCTCCACTTTCTAAAGCTCCAGAGGCGAAAGATATTTCAGCCATGCTCTTCAGCTGCTCAATTTTTTCATCAAACTGCAATATCTTTGATGAACTCCTATCATCTAATCCATTGTCATTAGTGTCGCCTCCTCAGCTTTGCAATCATCTAGAAGTGACTTGCAAAGCTGAGCTTCAGTTTCCACAAGATGAGAGCCACTTGTTTCCCCTCCACCATCACCTGATTAATTCAAGGATTAATTCAAGATACATAAACTAAGGCCAATCCCTACATTTTAATGCAAATATTCAAACAGAAGAAAGATTAGTGACAAAGCAGCAAAATATACAATGGGATTCTATACGATCTAAACTAGACTGACCAAAGACATTAGCAAGTCAAACAGGAGTATGCCAACCATTTGACATGCCTGATCTGCTAATTTTGCCTAACAAAAACATATTATCGTCTTCAGAAAAAGTTCAACTCGTCAATTCTTATACAGATCTCCAGACATGGAATCAAACAACCCTCTGATGAATCAGAGACAACAGATACAGTCTCATGTCCGGAATATATAGCTTAATTTTGAAGGAAAAACTATCAATAACAATTATATTTTGATGTTGAAAAAACAGAAAGATCTTGCTGTTTTATCTTGGTACATATTCTTTGTGTTCGTTTTCTTCTGCTAAATCAGCCAAAGTGAATATAAGCCTCAGTAAGAAAAGAAATATAAGCACATCTAAAAAGAAGAAGCTTTTGGTTGAAATTTCGATTAAGTGTTCATGCTTCCAATGCCTGCCCCTCCAACTTAAAGAACACCAAAAGTTGTGTGGAGAAAAGACATTATTGTTTCAGTGGAGTAACGTTCTAGAAGTTAAAAATGAGAGTCACTTGCACATACATCCTATACCAGAAGTAACAGCCAAGATATAAAGAATTAGATAAAACTTCCATCATAGAAAAACATCCTAAACAGAAGTGATGACCAAGACACATACTGATAGATAAACCTTCTATCCTAGAAAAAGATACTTCAAAGGATTTAATCTGTTTTCAAGGTCAATATTCAGATTGTATCTATTACGATAGCTTCTCTCTTTTTCATTTTAATTATTTTGTATTTTTCCTTTTCTTTTTTTTTTCCCTTCCAACTGTATTGACTCTTGAAATTGGAAAAAAAAAAGGAATCTTAAAAATCCCTAACCAGTTAAGTGACTAAATTGATAAAAAACAATCATCATCCATTAATAACAAGCAAGCCAGCAAAGCATACTGTACAGATGTTCAGAGGGAATGTCATGACATCTAAAATCCGCAAAAGAAAACTGAATTTTTGGTAAGGTGAACATGAGAATTAAACTAGTTATGCATATTCTGATATAAGGGAAGTGAAGAACAACACGAAGAAAAGCTTGACTGACGACTTGAAAAAACTTGGTAATAACAAAGTAAAGACAAGTTTTCAACAGAAACACATTTTGAGGATCTAAAAGGATAAACTCATCTGTCTCAAACAGTACTTAAGAGCAGCAGCCAAAAAAAAAATTGAAAGGTGACAGATAGAAAATCAGTGACTAACCGGTGACAAGAACTGCCGCCAAGCAGAATCCAACATTCCTTTTTAGATTCAAATTCTCCTCATCACCATCAACATATAAAACCTGAAACAAGGACAGTAAGCATGTGATCACTCGTAAAACAAACTTAACCATTTAACATCAGCACATTCTCGATCAACACAAAATTTCAAACCAGTAAGAGAAAACTGTGGTCCTGAGCATGTAAAATTACAGTATAGAAACTAAGATGACTGCTTATTCATGCAGTTAAGATGAATTAATATGTCACAAATGCACCAGCAAAATGTTTTAATCCTAAAGAATAGGGTGAAGGTTTACAAAGTATTCTTATCTCATGTTGAGGTAAGGATAAAAAACAGAGCCTAAAAGCAAGAAAATGGAGGTATAATAAAGGATGAAGCAAACCAAGGATGAATTTGAAAGAGTTAAATAATAGCAAACGTAAAGGTTTAGGCTGTCATTGTCAATATTTTCACCTTATGTTTCTTCCTCAAGGGATCAAAAGAATCAATAGTGCCTTCATAAAACCTGCGCAAAAAAAAAAAAATTAATAAGATAGAACATAATATTCTGCTTGTTCCCTGACACATATGCCTCAAGTTTGGTCGATTTCAAACATTAAGGTCGACAGATTATCTCATTTTCAGCTGTAGTGATTTCAATTTTGTACTTATTAATGAAGAGTATGACTACTCTAAGCATGTGTTTTCAGTTCTGTTCAAACATAATAATAGGAAGGTTTCTTTTCCAACAGCCCGCATTAATATCATCAGTTTCCTACAAATGGAAATAATCAACTATGGAATCCAAGTTGATTCAAACAAGTTACCACACACGTGCACACGCAGACGCACATATGTACATATTTAACATGCTCAAATACATTACATTACTAGTCAAAGATTGATCCAAAAAGCACCATTGACACCCAACTGAGCAGAAATATTTCCAATCACAGAAAAATGAAATATTAACACAAAAAATATATCAAACTACTACATTAACATTAAAAAAAATCAACACATAGCAGGCCATGGTTTTCCATAGCAAAACTGAAAATCAGAAAAGAATAACTTTAGAATGAAATATTGGGTTCATCTAGCATAAATACAAGTTTTGAGGGCACTAAATCATCATGCACCATGAAATTCCTTTAGTAAAAGAGGGAAAGGACGGGCAGCAATGCCCAGAAGTGGGGAGAGGAAAAATTCACAGATACGCTCAGTCAAAGAAAGGTATGCTGGAACGGAGAAAAGAAGACACTTAAGTGAACAAGATTCCCAGTTTTTCAGGCTGAGATCATGCATGGTTTTTGAAAAATCATAGACTTATTGGGTTGGAGGCAATAGTGGTGAAATAGTCTCCAGCCTTGGTTGAACCAACTTCATAAAATTGGCTTTTGAAGCCAAAATGTCCTTTAAAAGAATTTGTACTTATCAGCTAAGGAAGTTTCCACTACTGACATTTAAGGGGTAAGGTAGGAGCTAATAAGTGGTGTCATATCATAGAAAAAGAAAAGCTGATGGAATTTAAACTGAGACAAAAAAAACAGGAAGGGTTGTAGTTCATGCATTTTAGGTGGAAGGACAAACCAAAATCAAGCAGAAAGTTGGGGGAATGAGGGACAGCTTGGGGAAATTAGATGGCAATAGCTTCAGCTATTTAACACCCATATCAACAAAGCCACCCAGAAGATTGTCCTATTACTTGTAAACTGTTTCAAAGAAGCAAAACCACCTGGACCAAAGTCAAGATGATAGCAACATTCAGAGATTCAAACTTACAGAAATAGCAAAAAGGATCGACATATTGTCATTAATTTTGATCATTAAACAATCTGAGTCACTTACTGCCTGTCAATGGGCCACCAGACCTTTATCCTTGAACCAATTAATTTTTCACCATACTCTTTCACAATTCTAGGCTTCTTGCAACCCTGAATACAAAAGATGTCTTCGCAAATTAGAAATCAGATATGAAAATCATGTCAGAATATATGGAACAAACACAAAGCATCTAAACAAGGCACATCAGACAGGCACGAAATTTAGCCAGTCATTGCTGACAAACATATCAAGAGACAGGGGTGCCTGCTCAAGTTCTCAGCATATGCTAAGCAAGATTCAAATTATCTACTTTCTGTAGTAGAAAGTTTTAGACAGAAGTTACAAGAATTGGTTCACCTTTTACATGAAAAATAAGATTTTGTACTACCTCATATCAAATTGAACATCCTCATTTCCTATATGGGTGGCAGAGAACTTGTCCACTTTGCTTAATCTGATAGTTTTAATTGTAGGTAAAAGCACAGAAACATCAATAAAGAAACATAATACCTCAGACATTAATTGACTTATTAATGAACAAACATGATATTTCAAATTTTTCAGCTTCTTTGCATTCCATTCCTTTTTGTCCATCCTTCATTCTTAATAAAACCAGTGGTTTTCCTTCTGATCACTCTGGATATCTTTTTCTTTCTTTACAAGTACTGTTTTCACACCAGAGGTGGCTTCTACTGTGAAAACAGAATTGCTTCACCTTTACATGAAAAATAACTCCCTCCATATCAAATTAAACATCCTAATTTCCTATTTGGTCGCTGCAAAACTATGTCCACTTTTCTCGATCGCAAAATTCAAATCAAGCATCACTAAACAAGCATAATACCTCAGATTTTTCTATTTCTTTGTCTTTCATTCCTTTTTGTCCATCCTTCCTTCTAAATAAAAGCAGTGGTTTTCCATCCAAATCACTCTGCATGTCTTTTTCCTTTGTTACAAATACATTCTTCATGCCAAAGGTTGTCTCTATGTTGTTACAGACAGCAGATTTCTTCCTCCTTGAATATCTCCCAGGTTTTTTGCCAGCATTTTCTGTTTTGTCTGATCCTGTTCTTAAGCAACCATCAGAACCTGGCAAGCTTTTCTTCTTAAGTTGATCTTCCAGTAAAACACCTTCCTTGTCAAACATAGCAATGTTAACATCATGACTAAACATGTTCTCTTTCTTCCTTGGCCTACTCTTTCTCTGAAGACTTTTACCTCCTTCAGTTGGATCTAGGGAAATGGGAGCACATCTGCTGTCAAAATGTGACGTTCTTGGTGGAAAAGAACTTGGCTTGTCATCCTTTTCTGGTTCAGGCTGCAAAACAGACTCTGTTGCAGATGAATTACTCGGTAAGCTGCTAACTTTCCCAAGATTCTTTTTCTTACAAGGTATTCTGTGAGAATCTCGGTGTCCAGTTATCCCAGAATATTCATAACCTTCCTCCGGTTTTATCAGAGAATTGGGTTTTCTTCCCCTTCTATTTGGCATGACTCGTACTCTTGCTCTTGCTTGCATTTCTCCTCCACCGTCTAAAGCTCCAGGGGCAACAGATCTTTTAGCTATGCTCTTCAGCTGAACAACTTGTTCATGGCTCTGCGATAGCTTTGAAGAATTCCTATCATTCGATCCATTATCATCACTGTATGCCTCCTGAGCTGCACAATCATCTAGCAGTGACTTGCAAAGCTGAGCTTCATCTTGCACAAGGGCGAGCAGTCATTTCTGACTCCTCCATCACCTGATTAAATTAAGATTGACAAATTAAAGCCAGTCTCTTCATTTTAACACAAACATTTAAAGAGCAGAAAGAATAGTGAAGAAGCAACAAAGAACAAAACCAGATTCTAAATAGTCTTACTAGACTGACCAATTCCAACAGGAGAATATCAACCATTTCAGCTGCCTGATCTACTAATTTTGCTTAAAAGAGCATTTTCCTATCTTTAGGAAAAATTAGACTCATTAATTCATTTACAGAACTTCAACTATGAAAACTAGCGATCCTATGATGCATTGGAAGCAACAGAATCAGTCTGGCATCTCAAGCACGGTTTAATTTTAAATGAAAATCTATAGCAACAATCATTTTCTGATGTTGATTCTCTTCCTGAACAATTTCAGGTTTTTCTATGAGTTACAGGAAGATGAATATAGAGTTATAGACTATTTCTTAACATCTCACATGTTAGACAGTGGGGGAAACAACAACTTTAAGGAAGTCCAAACATATTTCCATCATTCACAAATACAAGGAGCAAGATAAATTACAAGAGAAGTGTGAAAGCTTTTGGAGACAGTATAAAATCATAAACCTATCTGCCTTTTGCCAAAAAAAAAAGGTCCAGTTGAACGAAAGAAAAATGTCGCACCACATTGGCCCCAGCTGGCATATCTCGCATAACAAAGCAACTATATCGGCATAATCATTAATATCTAGACTCATTGACTTCAATGCATTCATGAGATAAGGTTTGACTTTAGTTGAGCAGTTCTTTAGTACTTTCTCTCCTAGCCAAGAGGAAGCTGGTGAAGTAATCTGAGGCAAACAACAAAGGTGGTTGAGTACAGATTATTTTAAAAAAAAATGGAGAACAAATGATGCAGAGATCTATACAAGGAAGAGTACCTGATTTTCCTTTTTCACACTATTCAGAAGAGGCTTAGAAGATCTAATGAAAATTTCATCACTTGCATCTATAAGACAAGTCATAATTTCTGCCATGTTGGAGAATACAGCATGCGGGTGGTTGAACCTTGTATTTAACATTCAAACATAAGAGTATCTATCAGCACATGATAGTTTAATATGTTGATAGGTACGACACAGGTGGAAGACAAACAAATGAACACTCATAATTTGATTGTTCGAATTAGAGACCATGATTTAATCACTCAACAACACATCAAAAAGGTTTTCCCATGAGCTCATCAATTTTTTAACCTTTGCCCCACTGAGGAATTCATGAAGTGAAAATCAGATCATATATTCAGGAAAGAAGGTTGAAGGTAATGTAACATATCTAGTAACTTCAAATTAAAGAGTATTGTAACTACCAGTACTAGAGTTACTTTGAAAAGGTGAACGATAGCAATTACTAAATGATCCAAAAGGACAAACAGTCAATTAGAAGATTTTGTCAATAAAATATAAGATTTTAGACTTACTTAATGGTACTTAAAAGAGTTCGAAGATTTCAGTGACAAATGCATTGCAGCCTAGGTCCAGCAAGATAACACAGCATCTGAACGTGCAGCAATTTCAAGAATGTGCAAAGCTTTACAATAACAGCGACCAGATAAAAGAGACAACTTCTCAAATGCAGCTAAAGTTAGCTGAAAAACTTCCTGCACGCCATCGAAAATGCAAAGGCTGACAACTGAGTTCTAAATAAGTGTAGAATACAAAGCACAGATGCAACTAAACCAAGAATAAATACTACCATAGGTTCTTCAGCTTACTTTCATTTTTTCATCCTCATAAGGTTGATGTGGAGCTGTGATTCTTAACACCTCAGAGATGCAAGACATAACCGAAATCCTGACCTCCGTAGTAGGATGTCTAAACAGCCTATCAGAGATCAGAGCCTTCATCGAAGGCAAGAGTGCATCTCGTATCGAACTGAAAGGATCTTGACCTAAGACCGATAAAAGGCCCTCTAGTTTCTAAACAACAGGACGAAAAAGAAGATAATAATTAATTTACATCAGACAGAAAGAGTTCTCGAATATAAAATAATACGCAGAAGTAAGCCAGCAGTTTTGAATCGTGAAAAGAGAACGTTTATCAGAGAAAACGAAAGCCTCGATTAACAACATTTCTTAGGGAGAAGTAACCTATCAAATAAACATTGAACCTACAGATCAAACACTCTGTGCCTCGTGCGTGCTTGGTGCAAGCCTATTTATATCAATTATTGTTACTATGTGCAATTAATTTTGAACTTTACAGAAGCAAACCCAACAAAAGTTTACATTATTAAGCAGCAAAATCACCAAGATACAAACAAAACAGGATTTAATAATCTCAATCAACAAGGACTAAATCAACAAAAGCACTCAAGAGACAAAAACCAAACTTTTATATTTGATTTTGCGCATGCATGCAACATAGCCCAAAAAAAAAAAGGAAATAAGCCAAGCCAATCTCTAAATCTTCCAGATGCCTCATGAAAAAGTGATCTTTACATCGAGGGAGGCAAGGAGATCATCGGTAGAAGAGATTGGCACCAGAAGCTTCACCCCAGCATCAATCAGCTTGTGTTGAAGCTCCCTCTCCGAATCCATCCTCGAATTCACAGCCAAGCTCCTTGAAAAATTCTCGATTATCCCAGAAATGCAACAACCAACACGAAAACTAACCTTTTTGCCAACACGAAATCAAGAAACTGATTATCTCTGTCATGATAGTTGAAATCAAGCTGGAAGGACGATTTATAGTAAAGGGTCCTAGGGAAATCAGCCTAGGGAGAAGGTGAAGGTAGAAGACAAAAAGATCGTACGAGGATTAGCATAGTACTAGGATTTTGGGGAGGTTTTTGGCGGTGCATATGCCTCCGTGTAGACTTAGCCGTTAGGAAACTTCATGCATGGGGGAAGACGAGACAAAATGGTCGAATCGGGCTCAGTTTGGAAGACGAGTTTTTCAAAAACTTGTTTTTCATCCAGTATTACAAAAATAACTTAAAAAATATCATGTCCAAACAAATATTTTAAAAACAACTTCAAAAGCTCCGTTTGGATTAACTGTTTTTGAAAGTATTTTTTAAAAATTTTACTGTAATTTTGTATATAAAAAATTTTTACTGTATATGTTTTTAGATTGTTTTTAGAGATATTTTTAAAATATATTTTTGAATATTTTTATAATTTAGAATTTTATTGAGATTCTTTTTAAATATATACTGGCTCTATTTCTATATATTAATGTTTATTTATTTAAATATATAATATTTTAATTTTAATTTTGTTTTTTAATATGTATATTATTATATATTTAATATACATATACAAATATATATATTAATATACATATTATAAAACAAATTGATATGTATATATTTATATATTTATATAAAAATATATAAATATATTTTAAACAAATATTAATATTTATATATAAATACATATATTTATTTCAATTGATATAATATATATAATATACATATTAATATGCATAATTTAAATTACATATTAATATTAATATAATTTATATACAAAATGAAATATACATATTAATACATATTAATATACATATTATAAAACAAAGTTGAAATAAATATATTTACATATATATAAATATATATATAGATATATTTATATTTAAATAAATATATATATAAATATATTTTAAACAAAATATTTATATTTATATATAAAAATATAATATTTATTTAAATTGATATAATATATATGTTATACATATTAATATACATAATTGAAATATATTAATATTACTATATTTTATATATATCTTATATTCATAATTGAAATATAAATATCAAAATATACATATTAATATATATATATAATTTACATATTATAAAAAAATTGAAATAAATATATTTATAATTTTATATAAATATATAAAAATATATTATTTATATAAATATATATAATTAAATATATTTATATATTAACATAAATAAATATAAATATATTTATAAATATATGTAAATATATTTGATTATATATATTTATATTTTGTATTAATATTTATATATAAATATATATTTATTAAACAAAATATATTTTTTGTATATAATATTTATATATTTTTGTATATAAATATTTTTGTATTAATATTTATATATGTATTTATATATTTATTAAACAAAATATGTTTTTGTATATAATATTTATATATAAATATATATATTAATATATTTTTGTATCTATCTTTTGGAGTTTTTTACCAAAAGGATTGTGTCAGTTAAAAAGGTGATTTTAAAATATATTTATGTAAAATATTTAAAAAAATTTAAAATAATAATCTAAATTACAAGCCTATTTGAATTGTTAGTTTTAAAAATTTTTATAGAAAATATATTATAATAATTTGATCTATATGATGTAAAAAAGTGATTAAAAATATGTTTATAAAAAATATAGAAATTTTTTATTAAAAAAAGTACAATTCAAACAAGAATATACTCACAAAAAACGTAAAATAATTTTCCTTAACAAACAATAAGCCTATTCTTCGAATTGATACTTTTAGAAATTTTATTAAAAATATATATTATAATAATTTAATATACATAAATTAAAAAATAATTAAAATTTTATTTACAAAAACACGTAACAATTTTTCCGCGAAGACCCATGATCCAAACAAGGCAGCATTTTGTGTATGATGCCTTGCGGATTCTGCGTGAAACATGCATTTTGGCTAAATATTGGGTTTGAAATCCGATGTTAATCCATGGGCATTGGCGGGAATTCCTTGTGTCCTCGATGTTAATTCACTGGAAGTGAAGTGACATGACTGATAGCAGATTTTGAATGGGACAAGATTTGATTTGACTGTTGTAATTTGGAGTATTTTAAAATTAGGACCTTTTTTTTTAGATGTTAAAATTAGGACTTAAAATACTAACTAGTAGTAATAATTCATCTGATTTGACATCGTAAAGTTGATTGTGTTGGATTTGGCCAAGAAGGCATTGGTGATGGATTGATTGTATGGATTACATTTTTTTGAATTTTTTATTAAAAAATTATTATAATAATTTGAAATATATGAAATAAAAAAATAATTAAAAAATATATTTACGTAAAATATAATTTTTTTTTAAATTACAATCCAAACACAAATGTAAGGGTGCAATAATTTTTTTTGTTTTTATTAATTGACAAGAAAATGTAACCCAATTGGTAAAACATTTTACATCAGTTCGAGTAATCAAAGGAAATAAATAGGGAACTATTATTAATTCTCTTATAAAAAATGTATGGTAGATTTGAATACATGTAATAACATGATAAGTTATATATAATTTAAATGCATTAATAAGTACACTTACAAATCTTTTAATTTATCTTTCAAAATAAAATTACTAAATCTTAGCACGTGGAGTTCACATAAAAAAAATACATACATTGTTGAGATTTCACTTTAAAAATTCAAAAATTATTCAAAATTAAGTACATTATGAATTCTACAATTTATTCTATAGCATAATACAATGTCTGGACAAAAACCTTCTCGGAAATTTTTTTTTGTATGTGACGCCCGAAAGAAGAAAGATTTTCATTCTATATAGATGAACGTGTGATTGTGTATATCAAGTGTAATTGTGTGAGATTATATATATCTATATATATATCTTTGTCGGAAGAGCGGAGTAGCGCAACGTTTGAACTTGGAAAGCAAAACTTTTGGTGGAAAGGTTCTGAATCAAATCCAGCTGCAAATCCGGCCAGTTCTTGGCCGGATTGTTGGTCGGATTGCTTGAGGGTTTTGAAAAAAAATTGATTTCTCCTCTGCCTTGAATCCGACCGGATTGTGACGTGTCACAATCGGTCACAGCAGCTTTGACCGGCTGTTTCCTCCATTCTTATCCTACTTTTGGCCCAAAATATCTTCATTTTGCTCCTTGCTTGACGCGGCTAACTTGAGAGAAACGAAGAAAGCTCTTCATTTTCTATCTTCAATTTTGTTCAAATCTTGAGTTTTTAACCAGTGGAATTACAAATTACTCAATACAAGTGTGTACTATAGAGGTTTAAAGCTTTTGATGGATTGATTTTTGAAAGCGAAGCTTTAAGGTGCTATCTTTCTTGAGTTGTAAGGTGAGTTGCTAAGAAAGTTCCCTTTTTGTTTTAATAATGGTATATTAGTGGTTTATAGTGGTTAAATATGTTGTATTGTGGATGATTTCATGATTTTAAGTAGAGTTGGACCAATTTCTAATTTATTGAGAAATTTTCTGATTTTATATGATTATGGTATGTTGGTCATGGAATGATAGCTTGTTATGGAGTAAAATGGAGCTTGTATACGTTGGATATGATTGTTTGCGGAAAATTTCTGGTTTGTGCAGAAATTCCGATTTTAGGGTTTAATTTGGGGATTTTCTTATGGTTGGCTCTTAAGCTTCTAATTGGCTTTGATTGAAGGGTTTTGTGGCCCTAATTGGATGTGTTTTATTATTTACGAACCGTATGTGCAATTGCGGTTGGTAAGATGTAATTTGATGTTGTTATTGTAGGATGGAAATGAAGAATTTAAGGGGAAATGCTGTTTGATCTTTGAGAGTGTTTGGTTGCTTTGAATTTGAGTCGAAGGGCTTGAGTTCGATTCACGAAATTGTCTATAATGGAAGAGGATTATGAGCCGTGATTTGTGAGTGACCCCAAACTGTTTCCAAATCTACTTATGAACCGTTTCTTGCATTGTTTACTCGATTGCATATCATGTATGCTTGCATGTGAGTTCATGACATGATTTGGTTTCAATGAGTTTTTGGGAAGTCTTGTACTTAGAACCAACGTCTCCACCACTATTTATTGTTCATCTGGAGCACTAATGACTCCCTATCACTGTTTCACTGTTAACTGATCGATTTGAGTATTGGGTGTTTAAGTACAATGATTTCACTGGCTCACGAGAGCAATAAATGTACATTTGATTACTGAATCATGACATCATTGAAATTAACTATTGTGAAACTGATTTGATTACTGATTTTAATGGTTACTCGCTGAGTTTCTAGCTCACCTCAAAATATTTTATTCCCCTCCACAGGGCTCGAGGTGAATGAAGCATTTGTATTAAAGTTCTCTGTGTGAATGGTTGGATGATCTACTGTACAGTTTGAGTTATAGTCTTATCTTGTGTAATATTTGAGACTGCGATTGTACTTGTACTTGTACTTATGTGAAAATTGAGGACCTTTGTCTTATTCGAAAAATTAGTATTGCTTGTATCTCTTGAGATTTTAGTTTGTAGTGTATGTAAATTTGTGGAACATTTGATGTATATTTGAGATTTATATTGCAATTTATTTGAGGACTGTAGTGAGTGAGTGAGTCCCGACGAGAGTTGGACAGGCGGTCCGCCGAATCATTTGATTCACCTTAGGGAGATGTGGGACTGTCACATTGGAGATTTTCTAAATTATTATTACATCACCATTTTATTATTTTAAATTGTTTTTTCTTCAGATACAATATATTATAAAAGCATTATTGTAAATGATTTTTTTATGCACAAAATCTTCAATCTAAATAAATTGAATGCCTTTCCGTGGCATTCCGCCCACTTCTTTCCTACTTTTTCTCCCCACTTCTCACTTGATCCCTTACATCCATTCTTTTCCCCCTTCTTGAGTGGGAGAGGAGGTGGGA